TCATTGTCTTTACTGTATGCAGTGATCAGGCTTAGTACAATTACTCCTGCTACTGCTCTGAGCCAAAGAAAATGTACAAGGATGCAGAAGGAATTGTGGGCCACCACAGGCAGTTATGGGTCCATATATTACCTGCTTTCACTAAAGTCTAATCTAAGAAGTACTGCACACAGCTGTCCATACTCAGCTCACAACTGAATCTCATGACTTACTACACCACACCGTTGTGATTGCATTTTGTGATTTTGTGATTGTATACAGTTCTTCGATACCTTTTTCATCTAACAATCAGCCCCAAATGTATTCTGTGGCTTCATACAACAAGCCCTAGCATGCAGTCGGAGTCATAAGTAACTAACTTCAAGACACAAGAATAAGGAGTCGTGCAACAGATGACATGGTCTAAACAGCTACATGAAAAGAGACAAGACAGTGAGTTCTACCTTAAAAACTAAGGAGCTGGTGCTGCTGTAAAGGCAATTTGTGCTCACAACAATTACAGTTAAATTTAAATATTTTTCTCTTCGCAGTGGGTTAACTTAATTTAAAAAAAATCTCACTGCATGAGGTTTGAAAGTATCCTTCCTTTAATTTCAGATCCTAAGGCTTTGATAAGTACTGTATACTCATTTTCTTTTTAAATTGATTTTTGTAGTTGCACTTCTGAATTAAATATCACCTGAATGAAACTAGAGGCTCATTTTTAAGCTGACTTCTGCATTTAAAATAAAAACTAATAAGGGTAACTAACGAATTTCAGCATTTCGTAGTTTTCTCTTTGTGGCTCTGTGGTTGCAAGAACATTTTAATGAGATTTTTAAAAACTCCACGACCTCTGCATGGCACAAAACTGCATTTGACCTGTAAATAAATGCAGAAAAAGGCTAAACTTTTAACAAAAGTAGCCCTTCCTGCTTTTCAGGACATACAGTGTAAGGTTATATATCATCACATTCTTTAACTGTACGTCCCAAAGAATATGATTAAAAAAAGGTGCTGCTGTAAAATAATGAATTCACTTCGTGTCACCGAAGCATTTAATGACTGCCTTTCTTATCAGAGTTTGACCTGATAGGTCTGCTATAATTAAGCAAGTCTGACAAATCTGTATGATTAATTTATCTTATTCAGTTTATATACATGTATTCAGGGAGCTAAAAGGAAGCCATTCGCTTAGACAGAGGAAATCTCATGTGCACGCTCTGTGCCCTCAAAATGCAGAAGCCAAAAGAAGCTCATGAAAGTTTCATAAGAACGAACAGGGAGTCACATTTATAGCATCCTGGTTGTCAAAAATACTGCTATATTTCCTGAGAACTTTACTGGCTTTTACCAGAAGTATCAGTCAGGGAGAAACAATCACTTTTGAACTTGAAGAAAATATCCTTAGAGGAGCTTATTCTGTACATATGGATTTTTAAGAAGTTGTACTCAGTCATTTTAATAAGGCAGGGTTTGTTTTCTGTAAAATACAATTAAATGCCAACAGGACAGTTAGAACACATACATGCAATTGGGGCTGGGCTTTATCATAGCGTTCACGGTAA